TCACAAGCTTTTATTTCAATTATTATAGTTATAATTATTTTATTAATGTCAAATATATTATGTTAATTACCTAATTATTATAATAATGAATTCATTAATTGTCATCTACTTATGAAAGTGGTTTTAATTTTCTTCCATATCAAATCGTGGAATTCCATTTTAATTAATTTTAATTATTCAAATAAAATTGCAATATTCCATCTCAATTATTATAATATAATTATAGTTATTTTTGTGGAATATAATTATATTCATTACTAAATTACAGTGTTTTAATTACTAAATTGCTGTAATAATGTATTCTTTAATTAATTGCCTATCCCATCTTCGGCATCTTTGTACGCTCCCAGCCAGTTCTTCCCTCTTTGGCATCTTCAGACCTCTCCTAACGTCTCTTACCTCCATAACATCAGGGCTTCGCATTGCTCAAACTCGCCGGCTATTCAACTTCTAACTTTTCTTCTTCCCATCTGCTTTCGGATTCTCATCTCCGTGGCTTCGCATTCAAATTCTTCAACGACAGTAACCACTTTCTTCCCCTTTCATCTCTGTTTTTCTTTTCTGCCTTTAACTATCATAAGGTGAAACGACCAACTCACCCAACATCACAACCATGGTTCGTTCAAATTTTGGCATTCCCGTTCGTATCATTACAATTCTCACTTCTCAAACCCTTCGCATACTAGTATACCTAACATTCATTGTATACCTAATATTGAAAATGCCTTTATGCATCTTCTTTAATTGAAAGATTTCCTTATCTGAATTTGAATCTATATTGAATGTCATTTTATTTTGATTTGTATCGCATTTGAATTGAATGATTGTATTTGAATATCCCACTTGAGTATATGTATCGGATCATGATATGATGTAAGGTACATAAGGTTGATCCTGATTGGATTTCTTGGAACATAATTGGTGGAAGAATTTAGATAAAGAAAATACCTCTATCCTTAATAATCAGTTTATTAAATTCTTTGTTGCAAAAATAATTTATGGGGTGATTGATAAAGGATACAATGTGACTAAAAAAACATCGCCGTGGAAACAATTGTTGTAGTGAGAATGTGTTGTCTGCTACAGAATGTTATTACTGAGGTTCTTAATATAAATGGTGTTGGTTCTTGCATTTGATTTATTGTTTTCGTAGTAGATGAAGTCTTTCAAGCACATTCATGGCCTGTGGAAATTCTGAAATGGTATAATCGGTCTGGTTGAAGTGTGTAAAGTATAAATGTAGTTGCTACAAAAAATAGGCCTCAGAGTTTACATGCATGCCCTTGCTCAAATTGACTATTGATTAAATTAGGAAACAAGTTATCTTTTGCACTTCTCTGATCCAAATCATATGCAAAATCACATGCTTTTTATTTTAGAGCAGCTTTGTGTTTTTTTTTTAATGTAAATTTTTCTTTATACTATTTCTCGAGGCATAAAAAAGTTTTGATTGATTGATGTATCTTATCCCATTTGCTTGTTTGTTCCTCTCTTTCACTCCATCTTTTTTGTTTTTCTGATTTTTATTGATATGTTGGTGACATTCTTTCATTCATGCTTGCCTTTTGCTTGAATGCGAATGTTTTTGTTACACTTCTTTGTGGTAAGAAGATGATGCTTGGAACAATTGTTAGGCGTTTAGAGCAATTTTTGTGCCATTACCAAATCCATCTTTGTCATGAATAGTTGGTTTTAAGCTGTTTCTAGAAAACATATAAAAATCGTCTACTTTATATACTTTTTTTGTTATCTTAAAACAAAAAATTACTTCCACAATGAATCTACCTAGCATGAAACCAAATTAACTTATTGATATAAACATAAATTTTCCAAATTATATGTTTTATTGTTCACTCCTATAACTTCATTATATAGCTTATAATTCATGCATCAGTCAATCAAAAGAATTAATGCCAAACTCATTAAATGAAAACATGCAAATTCAAAACCAAATAAGTGCAACATGTGCACATAAAAAAATATATTCTAAAGAGGATAAAATGTCTAGTTCTCATGGTAGAACAAAGTGTTCGATTCACAATGTTCCTAGGTATAAAATAAAAGACAGAAGGAGTGCAAGATCAGCAAATAAAAAAAATAATAAAAAAAAAAACTGAAGAGTGTGAATGCTCCTGATTTAATTCTATATCACTAGTTTGTGTTGGTGGTAAGACCATATCCTAATTTGCTTAGAATTTAAACTTATTTAAGGTAGGAACCATGATGCGGATGTGGGACCTTGAAAAAGGAACATAGTTTACGAGGGTGGAAGGAAATCAGGTGACTTTAGCCAGAATAATTTCTATAGCTCATCATGTTACAGTTGGGTGTTGTATAGAGTCACAACAAATACGCTTTTTTTGTATTTTTACTTTTACTCCTACAGTAGAACATGCGAACTTCTGCTAGAGACGTTATTAGAGAAACCAATCTTTCTTTATTTTAATTAATATAGGTAGACAAACTTAACTGACTCAATAGAAATGCACGTAAGCAAAACACAAGCAATCTAACAGAATAAAAAATGATATTGTCAAGCTAAATCTATAAAAAAATGAAGACAATCATTTATATTAATAATGAACTCGAAGCCAATTAGCCAAATGGTTAAATTACGCAAATGACCAAAGACTATTAGCAAGATTCAGGCACCCAATAAAAGCTAGCCAGTCGTGATTACAAAATAATTCAACAAATCAATTGCAAGCACTTTATGTTGATGCAAAGAAAAAACAATTGGACTTAAAACAACTAGCATGTAAGCTAAAAAACATGGAAATATGTAGACAGAACAAAAAGAAAGTGTAGAAAATAACATGCACATGAGGCAGAGTGATTTAAAGAGCTATGAAAAAACCAACTATCATATCAAAAATCTTAATCCAATCCTATTCATACAGTTTAAAATCTGATTATTGATAAATAATTGACATACATAAGTTGTTGTCATAAACTTGAAGTCATGCAATACTTGATTGAACTTAGTGAAAATAAAGATATAAGCAATAAACCAAAATTTGCAATGAATGTGATTGGAATTTATAAAGAAAATTTAGCAAACTCTATAAAGCAGATTGCTCTCACTATATCTTAAAAATATAACTTGCAAATGAAGATAAATGGGGTGTCAATAAATGAGTCGATCTACCAACCTGAGTTGAAAATTCAAGGTTTGAGTTAATAATGCCAACCCCAAATAGTTGGGATAACGCTTGCTTCCAACACCTTGGACTTCAATTTAATGTACCTTGCTCATTGTTCATTTCATATTTCCATTCCACAGGATTTTATTTTCCAGTATCTTATATTTAAGGAAATGCTATCCACGTTGACTCTCAAATCATTCATCAATTTATCCTTCATAGTTGTGTCTACATGTATATTCTATCATTCTCATTTATGCACTGCTATATTTGGCTACCAAGATCATTTTAACTACCCAATAATCAGATCCATACAACATCTCAAACCTAACAACAAATGTATAGCATTTACCCTGGAGTCTTCAAGATCATCACATAATACTCCTAAGCCATTTCTAAGTTTTACGCCTAGCCTTAACTTTAAAAATCCTTATCCATAATCCTTTTTTACACTCCACCTCAACAGGCCCCCTCCTGGAACGTTGGCACTTGCTCTCGACATCATCAGACCTCCCCTGCCTGGAATCCTAAACTTTCTTGTCTTTCTCTAACACACGTTCCCTGTCCTTTTCCCTCTCTGAAGGGCGATCTGTCCTTCTCATTCATGCAGCTACATGGATTAAAAATTACTTTAAGTCTAACTTCAATGCCCACCATCATTCTGTCTTAGAAGCTATTCAATTATATAGTATTCTAATAATTCAATCATTCTGTTGTGGTAACTGTGTAATATGGACTGCAATGCTTTTTAGCACTTGATACTGCACAAGACGCAACTATAAACAAGCATGAGCGAGTTTAATTAACCGCAGCAATGTGATAAAGGAGGTTTAATGTTCATCTAGATGTTCAAAAAATAGTCAGTGTTGTCTTTTATAAAAGAAATGATAGGGTAGCCTCAACAGATCCAATTTACATGAAAGATTGATGGTGGGGAGACAACGAGCAGCATGGGATGCTTTGCAGCTGATGTTGCGAAGCAGAGCTTACTTGGGTGGGCAATTTGAATGCGATTAAAAGATGGTGGCATAGCTTGTGTAGGGGAGAAGCTGAACCTTGTAAATGCAATTGAAGGTGAGGAGCTTTGGTGCAGCATAAAATTGTTGTGTGGCAAGGAATTCAGACTGAGTTTGACTTTGAGAAGCTGATTTCGGAAGAAAGCTGCAGCGTTGCAACAAGCAAATGGAAAAAGTTTGCTTTAGTTCTATTTCTCGTAGGACTTGCTTTACTAAATAATGTGTTTTGTTGAGTTTCACATAAGAAAAGAATGCATCTGTGACAAAGAAAAGCATGAGCCAAACTAGACGAATGCATCTGTGACAAAGAAAAGCATGAGCCAAATAGTACAAAGGATTGAAAAAAATAAAGGTTTAGTTGGAGAAATGCTGTTAAAATGAAATCTTTAATGGAAATGGATGAAAGTTAAGTAGACTGTAATTCTTTTTAACATTTTTGAGATGCTTATGCTTTGTTGGATGGATAATGTGATACGCGTGGACAGAAATTGATGCGCTTCATGACTTGGTTTTCTTGATTTGTCAACAAATTGACATTTCTTATTATGATATTGAAAAGCAACTTGCATTTTAAATTTTTGTCATCTAATTGTATATCTTGATAATATCTTGATAATATCTTGATAGGAACAATAATAAACACAAAGCAGATATAATAATAAATGACAATTGTTTTGTAGCAAGTTTGCAAAAGAAACTATTTAATAAAAAAGTGATATGTTCTTCTAATATAGAAAACTACATATATATTGTTTTATAATCAATATACCACATTTTATAGAATGACACACTCGCATTTAGCGTTACGGTTCTCGAACTCCTCATTTTTCTTCATACTCACATTTAGATCATCAGTGAGCTTTTGAATCTTCTCATCGCGCTTCTGAATCTCCTCATCGCGCTTCTGAATCTCCTCATCCTGCAGTGATTCCTGAACAATCCTTTCTTCTTCCAATCGAGCAGCTCGTTCTTCAGCCTCCAGCTGTGCAGCTTGCTCTTTTGCCAGCTGATCCCAAAACCCACCTGTACAGAATTCTACCATTTCTTTTACCTATATGCAATAAAAAAAAATGTCATTGTGTCAGAGCATAGATAAAATAAAGACGAATGCCAATATAATTGATGAACAATTTAAATGACAAAAAAATAAGACTCGACAACATAACTTATAGTAGCATCAAGATTTATACAACTATCAACTTTGAAAAACATAAAAACAATAGAACTTAAATGCATAAATGAGCTTACTATCTCAGTTACACCCTTCTGTTGATCATCATATGCACGCTTCCCTTTTATATGTTCAGATAACTCATCTTTTGAGCATCCTTCTTTTGATTCAACTTCTTTAACATTTTGGTGTCGAAGTAAAACTCTTTCCTATTGAAAGCAATATCCAACATGAAGTATCAAATTTTTTCATCTATCACAGCTGCCAATTATAAAGTATGAAACAAAGAGATGACATACCTTGTGTTCTGCAAAGGTCTTTTTTGAGTATGGTTTTCCACCATTGTCCACAATAATAAACTCAACAAGCGAGAGTAGCTCATTTAGTTGTTCTTCTCTCTTGATCATATCCTTGTTGGTATTATCAAAAACGATTATTCTATTCTTGCACATTTGAATGATGTTCTGCAAAAAAATTGGAGAATGGAACATAATTGTACTAGATAAAAGAAATAAAAAATAAGTTTAAAGATTAAAATTGACCAAATTCATTTAGCTAGTTCTGCTTTTAAATGACAAGATTTCTGGTAAAGTTTTAATGATTTTAATATTATTGAAATGATTATAAGAAAAAAAAAATTGTAGATTACTATTGAAATTATAACATCTACTTCTAAATAGTCATTTTTAATACATTTCATTAAAAAACTTGTGAATAGTTTGAATCATCAACTTATATGGTTATTCATAATAATTAAGTATTTGAAATATAAAGTACATAATACTATGAGATTCATCAACAAAGAATTATATATATATATATATATATAGCCTAATTGCCAGTTGCAAATGGATTTTTAAATTATTTATGTTGAACTGTTTTTGTTTCATTATAGGTTTGTTTTGTTTTGTTTTTAATATTAATTGCATGATGGAAATTAAACTTATTTAAAAATAAAAAATTAAAAAAAATTAAAAAGAAGTAATAGCATAAAAAAAAACTAAAAATAAAAAATAAAAAAGATCCAAATGCCCTTTACAGGAGTTCGCATAAATATGAAAGGGACTTTTTGATGAGACGATAAAGCATGCAATGGGCTCCAATCGGAGAAAAAAATGTTCTAACATTATTGTCAGGTTTCTCGAGTGTGCTAAATTTATTTCCCATTTAAATTATTATCTTTTCTACATTTTCCATTCTATTTATTGTTCACAATCAGCTGCAAGCGTTGGTAATACTCTCTCAATTGAGAAATATCTGAATTATATTATTGCAGTAAGGAGAAATATCTGAATTATATACAAACCCAGAAATATTTTGGTAATAAATATTATAAAAAGAAAGATACATACCCTCAAAGGTTATGGAGAAAGGCTAATAAAGTCCTTCAAGCTATTCTGTGTAGATTCCAGTATGTCTCCATAAGTGAAAATTATGATCATGTAGTCAACAATCTTCTCCCCAAAAAGTGATTTCATACTCTCAAAGGCAGCCACCTCTTCTATTGAGAATTGAGATCTAAGAGAGAATACCATGAGCACTGCATGAATACCATCTTTGGCTAAACTAATGCATTTGACTATCTCCCCACATATTTCCTCAGCACTAGTAGAAAAATTGAACAAGCCTACAAAGATATCCATGGCAAAAATTAAGTGATTAGCATACTACCAATATTCTAATCCATACCAATAAAAAAAGGAATTTGAATTTTTCTATAACATATTTCGTAGGTTAGAATCATAAGCAAAGAAAGTAGTTAAATCGCTAAATGTGGGTTGGGTCAATCAATCTTATCATCAAATTTAGCTTTAACTGATTCAATTTTAAAAAACAAAGCACAAGTTAATTAAATATACTGAAAGATAGGGATAGTTTGTGCGAACAATTGTAAATAAGAGTCATAAATTTGAATACATAACAATTGTTGCTTGTATTAAAAAAAATACAAGTACATAATTTGTTTAAAAATAGCAAACAAAATATAAAAATAGACCTTTAACTATTTATGAGAGCCATTTTAATGCCATACTATCTAATGTATTCAATTTTGTTCCTTGATCACTCCAATTTAATCTAAAATTAACCCTAAACTCCTCAAATTGGAAGCATAAATAATCCAACAGATAACTTTAAATCACATTTGAGTAGTAAGAGGCTAAATTGAACTTATTTATAAACTGGGATTATATTGACTCAAATTCAAGAACTATTTTGATATATATATATATATATAACAACATAAGTGGAAATGGCCAACAACCATGAAAAACTAATGGAAGCATCAGTGACTAATCAAACTATAGAGAATTTGAAGTCAAAATTAGACTTCAACTTATATCATAAATCAAGATTGGCAAGTATCAATAACAATATGATTTTGATGATAGTGGCAACATGAAGTAAACCTATGAGAATGATGAGGTGGGTCATAAAATGGTTAATTGAATTGTGATGTATATAACAATCTTAATAGATAGTGAAGAATCTAAACATCTTAATATACATGGGTGGAACCACATGCAAGTCAGGGGGGCAATTGCCCTTCCTAAAAAAAAAATATTTTATAGGAGTGTACTTTTTTTTTGCCCCCCCTTCAAAATTGAAGCCAGTTCCGCCCCTGTTAATATACTACTCCGTTATGCATGAGCGTCAAGATGAAGCTAGAAATAACATAAGAGATTGAGAAACAGCTTATATTACCATATATAAAGCTCAATGAGCAATAACATTAGCATAAAACTTTATAGATACAAGTGCAACTCAATCTCCTGTATAATCTCCTAGTTAAATTTTGGGTCAATTTTAATATCAATAAAAAACTCTAAAGCTATCATAAATACATCATCAGACATAGGTATTGATAACACAAATTTAGAAATGCTCTTTGATTATCAGAAAAGTAGAGGTAGACCTAAAAAAAAGTTGGCTAGAAAATATTAGAAATGACATTTTATAATATATTTAAATGATAATTTGACAATTAGAATGACACAATCGAGAAAATGGAGAAAAAAGGATTATTGTAGCCAATCTTAGGGATAAAAGCTTGATTTTGTTGTTGTATGTATATTATAATGCATTGTATGTATATTATAATACATATAAGATCATTTTTTTCTATATATAATTGGGCTTTTATTAATACTAAAAATAATTAACTTTATCATATATTTAACATAAAAGATTCAATTAAAATATGCATAAAAGTTAAATGAATACATGGCCAATATACTTTTTAACTATGATGAGTGTAATTTATGCTAGCATCATTATTTTCAACTAAATATACTTTATTAAAGCCAATCGAGGATAAGATAAATCTTGACATGATAAAATTATATGAAAGTTAAAGGATTATCATCGAGCTCAACTTTGAATGGAAAAAAGATTAGCGTATTATCACTCCACAAAAAAAAAAAATTAGCAAAGTATGCAAAATTTGACAAATCAAATAAATTTAATTTTGAGAGTTGTAGATTATTTCTTATGGATAAATAAGTAGGTCAAACAAAAGCAATAAGGTATATAACCAAAATAAGAGAGAAAGGTGAGAGAAAAATAATGGCAGTCAGATTTGAAGTGGATTAGGAAAATTGTTTGGTTTGGAGTTTGAGTTGGCAAAGGTTTAATGTGTATATGGTTGCTATTTTGAAATGTCACAGTAGTAAATTTGGGTTGGATATTAGTTTGTCATTGGTTCGAGCAGGATGAGAGGGAGGCAGTTGGAGCATAAAGATGATTTATTATTAAATGCGGAGTCCAGACGGCGTCCGACGACCAATAAAAAAGTGTCACGTCAGCTTGGTACCAAGCTCGATACCTAATCATAATCAGACGGGAAAATCATCCGGTGTCCACACAGAATAATAGCTCGTAAATATGAGGGAGCTCAAGTGAAGTTGGAATTGCGGGATTAGTGTTGGATTTTTGGTAGAGAGAGACAAGACATCTTGATGCCATTTTGCAGAGTTGTAAATTGGATTTGAACGGGATATATATAGTATGGCTCAGTCCTATGAAATTGTTTTCAGACCTTTATGAGAAATTGTTGGTTTTTATTGATTTGTTTAAATAAAATAATAAATAAATTAAATACAAAATTATGGTAGTGAGTCGGGAAATGAACTCATTAAAAGAACCATGCATTTACCTCCACATGTGTGCCTGGATAAAGCAAAATGATGACCACTACAGCGAAAAAAGAGCTGTGACTCATTTACATTCCTTTTGGTTACCATGCATAATTAAAACCGACATATATAAAGTTTAATAACTTATATTGAAGTATATGTCCTATGTCTCAAATACCGCCACATCAATTTATAAGAAATGTTGCTTTATATTTTTTTGCCTTTTTTGTTATATGTCCATTTTAGAGTTCTCAATAATAGTGGTTCTTACAAATTTTATCCTCTAACAAGTGATGATTGCCTTACTCACAATGTTAGTACATATCATATTCCAAAATCAAAGATTTAAAAATGTATATGCATTCTTCTAACTTAATGAATATTCATAGATCAATAAAGTGATATACATTACCTGGAGTGTCTATAATGTTGACAGTACGACCTCCTTTATGCATAAGTTTTTTAAGCTCAGAAGAACAAGTAACTGCCGATAAGCTGTACTCGGAATCGAAGGCTTCCCTTCCAAGAATGCTATTTCCAGTAGCACTCTTACCGTTACCAGTCCTCCCAACAATGACAAGATTAATAATATTTCTTGTTGTATTTAATTTCCAATCAGTAATTGGATCGGCCTCCATTGTATGATCTGAACAAAATGTAGAAAAAACTAGTAAATTGATCAAAAGATGAAAAGTTGAGGCTAGAATCTCGCATACTTAATGAACAAGCATAATTAAAGCATTTTTTACATCAATCCACATTCTTAGATACCAGTTTTCATTCTTTACAGGATTTGAGAAGGATTTACGCTAAATCCTACAAACGGGATTTCAGTGCCAGATTTATAGTTCTCATAATTACATCATCGATTAATGCAAAATTAATGCTATAGCATAGTAAACTAAGTTGAACATGTTTATAGTTCTCATAATTTAATTAAAGTAATTAAAACAATTCAAAACCGAATGCTGTTGTTAGAAGCAAATGGTCTGGTTCGTTGAAACTTTTAGATATTAAATTAACTTGAACTATTTTCAGGGAGGATATAATGAAATCCAAATTTACAATTAAATCATCGATTTTAGCTCCGTGTAATCTAATCAAAATTATGCTTCATAAGAATAATATACTAATAATATTATAATTATGATTTATTATTAAATTCATATATTTCAGGAAGTCATTCTTTAAAATCTCTAGATAATATAACTAATCTTGATATGTTATTCGGCAGTTTTGACTACCAACAAAAAAGTTTTAGGTTCAAGACTTATGTATATGATGTGTGTGTGAGATTGTCTTAATTGACTTAAATGACAAAAAAAAAAAAAACTGCAGGCAGAATAAGCTTAAAATTCAACGATGGAATATTTCTGATTGACGCAAATTAATATGCAGGTTATCATATTAAGTTGCCAAGTTTACAAGAAAGAAAATTAACGCACGCAATTTGTTGAACACCTTGTAAACAAGCAAACTTGCAAGAGATCTCTGATAATATTCGGTATACATGAGAATTTTTTATTCATACAAGAAAATAATCCCATCACAGTTCTCAGGATCCAGGTTTATTTGGTGAGTTATAAATCTCACCAATGAATCCTGTAATAATCTTTTTGTTGTAAATCCCGGATGTACTAAGGGCTAGTTTGGTTTAGTTTCTGCTTACGAAAAAAAGAGTTTTAGAAAAAGATGTTTAAAAAAAGAAGTTTAATAAAATGGAGTTTCAATAATGATATATTGTTTGACTAATATTTTTTAAGTGCTTATTAATATGTGAAAATAGATTTAAATTGTTTGTTTAAGAGTTTAGCTTTGGTGATTTTATCATAAAAGACTAAATTACTCATATATAAAATTTAAGTATATGTAATTAATTTTTCTTTATTTTACAAACTAAAATTAACATAAATTTATATATGAATCTTCTAAGCATGCTAATATAAACTAATTAAAGTGCCTCATGGTAGAATTTGTTATAATTAATAAATTTATATATGAATCTTCTAAGCATGCTAACATAAACTAAAGTGCCTCATGGTAGAATTTGTTATAATTAATTCATATGCCACAATTTATTAGATATTAAAGATGTGAGCTCGCATATTTGGAACAGTAAATGCATAAATTTGATATACTATTTGGGTCATCCATGGTATATTGGTATTTAAGAGTAAATCACACCTAAATCACATTCATAATACAAAATCAATCACCTCGCTAATCAAATCACTTATGCTCTACAGAAGACAAATAATTCATATTACTCAACACAACCAAATGCGTAAAGCACTCAAAAAAACCTACAGTTAACCAAAGTTGAAGGCCTTCAATTGTATACCCGAAGCCGTCGAAGAGCTCTCTGCTCTTTAGCTTATGCAAGCTCAATAGATGAACAAAAACGAATACGGGAGGGAGAGAGAGACAGAGAGGGGCAAAAAAAGTTATCAGTCCGGGAGTTCTATTATATTAGCCTGTAAGAAGCTTAGGGCTTGTAGCTCGCCGGAGAGATGGCGACGCTTATACCCGTGATAAAGGAAATGGCGGGTGCCCACATGTCAGAGCCGTTGCTTCTCGCTATTGTTACTGTGCTCGAAACAGGAACAAAAACAGCCCTCTCTTTCTTAAATGCCCTTCTCCTCTCGAATCAGGCTCCATTGCTGATCTGTCTCTGCTTTCATGTACGCAGAGCTCAGCAGTTGTCAATGAAAACATGAAGCAAGAAACGGATGACTATTTACTTCCAAAACAAACTTTTTTTTTCTTGCTGAAACTCCGATTCGCGATGGAATAAGAAGATAGGTAAAGAATTTCGTAACCGACGAGAAAACTGAGTTTAGCAAAAAGAAATTATGCTTAAGTTTTGATTACAAACAGGTGGACGTAACTGATTTCGGCTTATAAAGACGGAGAACTATGCCTAAATCGTGTAATTGAGCAGATTAGAAGGGCGCGAAAGTGGTTACCTAGGCAACAGAAGAAATGGCGAGCTTCCGATCCGTCTGGAGGGAACGTCGTCTAAGGGGCGAATTAGTTTCTTAGGTTCTGGTTGAAAACTCTTATCCACCGGAACCGCTGGAGAGGAAAAGCCTACGGCTAATGAGCTGCAGAGGGAGTCATATTTGCACATTCCGCTCCTGGAAAGGATTTCAATTTTGGCAACCTGATGCTATTTAGTAGCTCAGGGTCGGCACAGAAATTTTTAAATCGGGAAGAGATAACAATTTTAGACTGTTTAATTCAGGAGAATGGAGCCCGCGCTCATAATCACGGAGAAGATGAATATAGTAAGCAAAGATGAATACATCAAAATTTTAAGCTAAAGAGCAGAGAGTTTTTTGCTGGTGGAGAGCCAAATACTACTCTCTGTGGAATACTTCGGCTGTGAACTGTTCTCACTACTGGAAAGCCTTATGTAAGCAAGCCAATCTTATTAAACACTGTATCAATTTTATTATTTGCCCGACCAGCACTTTGTCTGTTTTCTGGGACCTTTGGTGCGGGGGTCATTCGATTGCTGATTATCTCATTTTAAATAATTCGATTGAGGAGTATGCTCAATTCTTTGATTGGAAGGTCTCTGATATCATCTGGGGGAGCTATTGGGCTATTCCTAGCTTCTTTGATAGCCATTTAGCTATGAATATAAATTCTGTTGTGATTGAAGATAATAAGGATAACCACTACTGGCTTGGTAAACAGAATCCTATATTTGCTGATTTTCGTAAACAATTCTATAGTAATTTGGAGGTGGTTGAGTGGCACAAATTCATCTGGCATAAAAAAGCTTCTCTCCGTTTTTCTTCTTATGCTTGGCTTGCTTTTAAAGGAGGTTTGAAAACTGCTAAAGTGTTAGCTATGCGTGGGATTACTGATCACTTTAACTGCTGTTTTTGCCATGGTGAAAAGGAGACGGTTTTTCATCTATTCTTTGATTGTAATTTCACCTTCAACGTTATCAAAAGTTTACTTCCCTGGATGGATTCCCACTTGTTGAAACCAAATCTTTATCAAGTCTATGATAGCATCTATGAGCAAAAGATTAATAAGCAGCTGAAACATTTTTATTTGCTCTCAGCCTCTGCTGCTATCTATCATCTTTGGAGGGCCCGTAATGAACGGTTATATGGTGGAATTATTGATAGCCAGGAGACGATTTCTGTCAAAATCAGAAAAGCTTTAATTCTCAAAACGCATGGCTGGAAGCGTTAATGAGTTTCTTGGTTTTTTGGATGGCTTATGGATGTTGTCACAAATGGCCTTGCTGATGGAATTTTTGAGGCTCTTGCAAATTTTGTCGCCCTTGCAGGTTGCCTGAACCGGTGTATTGATAGGACAATGATGAATGCTAATCCTTTCAGCTACCCCTTGGACGGTCTTTTTGGCAACCAGGGGTCCTGCGTTCTGGCAAGTCCCGATCGAGTTCAATTCCTGTTGCCAGAACGTACTGAGTCCTTAAGGCTTATGCCTTTCTGATCCTTTTGGTTTTGTATTTTGCTTCTTTAGAGCTCCTAATCTCTGTTTATTAGATTAGGAGTTTTAGTTTTTGCTTTTTCTTTACTTGTAATCTCTTTTTCTTATATGAATGGGCAAAGCCCCAAAAATTCCCCAAAAAAAAAGAGCAGAGAGGGAAATAGATGCTCGCTGTATTCATCTTAATGAAAATATTACATATGGGAAATAGATGGATGCAGCAAGCAACTATCATTTTCGGCTAAGCATGAATATTCAACTTTAAGTGCTTACTATAATTTTTCGGAGGAAAGATAAACGTTCAAATTTTTAAGATGTCTGAATATAATTTTTATCTCAAAAATTTTTGCCCTCAAGAAATTTTCTATTATAATTTTTCGGCTAAGCTTATTTACCTTTGGATTTATTTAGGCTTACTTAGGGATAGTTTTTGGTCATTATTTTTTCCCAATTTTCAAATATATATTTTTTGTGCTAAAAAATATTATAGAAAGCAATAAGAAAAATGTACCAAATGAAGCCTTACGTTTGACCTTATAACATATTATCTCAATAATAAATATTGAAAAAAATAAAAATAGAGTATAGATGGTCTTAAATTTAATTTTTTTTAAGAAAAATTTTCAAATAGAGTTTTGAGTGCTTTTAGATTTAAGAATTTCGTTGAGCTTCACGTAATTTCAAATCAAATTTACTTTTTGTATGCAATGACAAGCCTTTTAAATTCCTCGTATTACTTCCTAACCTCATTCGGCTCCTCTTTGAGCTTCTGAATCTCATACAACTGCTTTCGTGATTATCCGACAAACCTTTCTGTTTCCAATCATGCTGCTTGCTCTTTAGCCAGCTGCTTCCCTAACCTCTTTTTACATAACTTTTATTTTTTCTTCTACCTCTACGTAACCAAAAATATGGACATGATGTTGGGGTGTAGATCGCATGGAGAGGAGGGTCAAATTGATTGATAAATTATTTAAATGAGTTTATTTAAGCTTCAAATTACATATTTGTTTAATTTAGTCCTATGATTTCTTAAATATGATTAAAAATAGTCCTTTTGTTAGATTATTTTGGATCAGATAAATAATTTTAAACATCCCGGAAAGACACATTATCTTAATGAAATTTTTTTCTCATATCAAATATTGATAAATTATTTAAATGAGTTTTTTATGCTTCAAATTACATATTTGTTTAATTTAGTCCCATGATTTCTTAAATATGATTAAAAATAGTCCTTTTGTTAGATTATTTTGGATCAGATAAATAATTTTAAACATCCCGGAAAGGCACATTATCTTAATGAAAATTTTTTCTCATATCAAATTACCAATCTGCTTAGCATGTCTCCCCAATAAAACCATCCCCATCCCCCATTAACCTAAGTATCTCTCTCTCTCTAATATTCTCTCTATCCCTCACTCAAATTCAATCAACTACGAGCACCTCAAAGTTTTGCCTCCATATATATCTCCCACTCCATCTTTCTAGCTTAACTCTATATCGAAACATATATAATTACCATCACCCTCACCTCCCCCAACTAGTATACCATGACAACCCTTCCTGGAAACCTAATGCAAACCTATACTATTTCTTGTCCATAGCAAAGTTTTAGCCTATCTCATTCCATCACCTACACTGTCATCACAACTCTCAAAGACCTTGCCTGTAGAATTTGATGGTCTTCCTTAGCAACGAATTTGGATAATTATTTCACCATGCCCATATAAAAAAATGACACAATTGCAAATGAACATATAAGAAAAACCATAACTCAAATGAGATAGATGTTAGGTATAAAACTCACTAAATCACTCTAGAATACAAACAAGAATATAGCGTAAACTTATAGAAACATCATCCATGTAGCCAAAATACTAATGATTCTTATACAACTTATCGATAATTAGCCATTATCCAACTTGATATGTCTAACACCTTCCTTCATGATCATCTCAACAAAATAATGTATATGACCCCATACACCCACAAACACCATCAACAACGAGGTTTCACATTCAATATGACAGACTCGTTAATCCAAGTCTATAAAAAAGAAAGGTTTTAGTATATATCTGACATGTTGTGCATGACTTACTCATCACAAGCCAAATGAATCCACCACCATCTCTATGACCATATTTAGCAGCCTAACACTTGCTTCAACTTGAAAACTCTTGAAAACTTTTCCCAATTCTCGAGCTTCCACGCCAAAACCACATCACATGGCCTACACTTAAACAAAACCCACCATACTAATAATGTCAAGGTATATTATCCTTCAAGTTATGTACAAACAAAAGTTCGGCCAAAACAACTTCCAAAGGAATAACGTCAATAGTGTTTGAAAACACATCATTATTTTGGAAATTTCTTGGCTCTCTCCAATATTTTAACTATCACTCTTCATGACATTAGTTATGCAATCACTTGCCTCTACCAATACATTTACAAACCCCTTGTTCACTATCAATGTCTCAAATATCTATTCCACTTCCTAAAAGCCAATCTACAATGTAAAGTGTCAACTTCCACCTCATAGTTTATGTTGACTCAGATTGCATCTAAGGATCCTAATGAAAGAAAGTCAAGCACTGGATTGCACCTTCCTAGGGAAGGCACTCATCTTCTAGTGCATTAAAATCTTTGTAATCAAAGAGCTTTGATATGCAAAGGGAATTGACCACTCCAAACCAAAATAATGCCAATCATAATAGTAATAAGGAAACAATAATTTACCAAGGAGGAAGGTTGAGGACAGAAGGGACAGTCAAGTGATGGAAACAAAAATAATATATGATAAACAGTACTCATATAAAAGAAATTTAACAATTTATGTCTCATAATATTATATAGTCGAACAAATATATAGATCATTTATTTTCAAAAAATATATATAAATAGGAATAAAAATCTTTTATATTCTTGTGCTATTTATTAAATTTAATCTAATTTGAATTCATTTGAACATTATTCTAATCAAAGTATTATTTGAACTGAATTTGAATATGGAATTTTAGCCCCAAAAATGCTAAAGGTTTCAATTTATTCCAAAAATGAGTTCCATCCTAATTTTTGATTCTCTTTCACATATATGGGTCCCCTTAATGTCTACCCCATTTAAATAAATTGTCAATAAATTCTCGATGTCATCATATCTCTCTACACACTATAAACGCCACTTCTCATTCACAAGAGATGGTCGATTGGATGGAACTGTCAGGTCTTGTTTCCCTATCTTTGGTTTGTCCCTTTCTCCCCTAAAATTCAAGCAAGTGATGTTGTGGCCCTATGTTGTCAGTACAAGCTCCATGATGAACAATGAGTGAATTAAGAATGCCGAGGTTTGAACCTTAGTTTGAAGTGTGATTCGAGTAGTTTCTATAGGCTTTGATTTCAAGTACAAGTTATCTCTCATTAAAACTAATTTCATATTTCTCTTTGAAAACAAAGAGTAAGAAAATTTATCCAATTATGTATATTATATTGCATATAAGAAAATTTATCCAATATATGTAATATAAAAAATAAAATAAAAATATGCATGAAAATTAAATAAATGCATGGCCAATAAACTTTTAAACCATGACGTGATCGTATATTTGTTTAGTGGCTCGAGTCGTGTCAACTCCTATCTACTTATATAAAAAGATTTGGCTCGAATTAAGATTTATTATTTGACCAGCACAACATCCTAAAATGTCACGTATATACCCATATATAACACGCTCTCTACGACCCTTGCTGGTGTATGATTGCATACGTATTTTTGTGTTATATTTGTGTGCTTACACGTACCTTCATATTTTCATTTGTGTATTGACGTGCTTGAATGTGCACTTCTATAAAAATTGGCAA